AAACCCGAAACAAAGCCTGCCGAATCGTGAGAATCACTCCTTGAACCTCGACCCTGCGGAAGCTTCTGCTTGGACGTTTGTTATCCTTCCCCTTCAGACTTTAAGCGAGTGCCGCCCACAAACCAGGTACCCTAAACCCTAAACCCCTGAACCCTAAACCCAGGTTTGTGCACCAAAAAATGCAGAAAGGACTCCTGCGGGCGGTCTTCAAACCGCCTTAAGAGTTCGGTGACACGGCCGGCCTCTGCTGGGCCTGAAGGGTTTGGGTTGCGGATTCACCCGATGACGACTGGTTCCTATGATCCGAAGGAACTTCGGGCGCTTATCACGCAGTTCTGCGTAGGGCTATCGCTGGGTTCTAAATACTCTAAACCTCCAAGTAGAGCTTCTGGAAGCATCTTATGGAGGAGTGACGTTGGGAGTCCCTATAAGGGTGTAGGGATTTCGGGCTGTAGCGTTGGGGTACACCATAGCTCCGCAAAACCCAAGCAAAAAAGAGCAGCAACATCGTAGACTCCTCCTGGATATAAGTCTGGGCCCAAACCCTAAGGGTCCAAGTACCCAAATAGTAAGGCTTTAGGGTACCTCAAACCCCAATGGGCTGCCATCTTGAAGAAAAAGACCCGAACTAAGATATAAAACAGGGATTCCTCCCGTAAAGGAGCTAGGGTTTGGGGTTGGTAATTCTCCTGGATCCAATAATTTTTCCAAAGCGTATAGGGCACCGATGGAGCATGTAGGATTTGACAGCCCCGTACTGTTTCCTCCTGTTCTCACGAAAAACCTTGACAACCATTTGCACCAGGAAGCTGTAAGCACTCAGGTTTGTCCGGCAGTTGCTTCGTGGCAAGACCAAGCACGGCTGATTCCTTGATCCTATCTTGAAGAGCCCTGCGAGCTACTAGAACTTTCAGGGGTCTCAACTTGTAGTGGAACAGGCCTCAAGTAACCCTTTTACAACCTGAGTTTCCCAAGTACTGAGGCAAGACCATAGGCCGACCTCATACAAAGAGAATCCAACCATGTAAGCTGAAACCCAAACAAGGGCGCTAAGACAGGGTTTAAGGAGTTTGAGAGCCTCCAGCCCTGCCACTAAAGTACTAGAGCAAACTCATTACATGACATGCGCACCTGCAAGGAGGTCGGTGAAGTCCATGCCAGCCAAGGTAGAACCTGCACTCCCAATGTTAGACATACCTGAAAAAAAAGCTACCTTAGACCTCGGCCAAACACCCAAGTGCAATTGCTAGAAACAAATCTAACCTAGAGGCTTCAACGAAACAACTGTCTCAAGCTTAGTAGAGCCCCATATAGCACGAAAATGATCAATATCATAGAGTTCCATCGCCAAAATGTTTTCAAATTGAATCCCCAACCCTACACCCATCTAAGTCGTATAAGTTCCACAGTAGTCCCAAACCAGATAAACCCTGGACCCCGAACCTCCTCCCATGAACCCTGAGCCCTAAACTCTGAACCCTGAACCGTAAACCAAAATGTTCCGAAGAGAGCTCCAGGGAGCCAGGTCGGTGTCGCAACAACATTGCAGCCTCAGGCTTATGTTCTTATAGGCTTGAATGGAAAGCTCAGGTTGGAACATGGGGTCTAGGGCTAGTAGGTATTGTAGAAGGCCTAGGGTTAAGTGTGTAGGCTTGTCACCTGAGGATTTTGGTTAGGGCTCCAGGGGTAGAGGTTTGGGGTTTAACGTTCGGCGCTTGGGGGTCAAGGCCTGCAATTTTGGAACTTCGTGTTTGGAAACCGTTAAAGCTCAAGAACTCTTGTTGAGGATGGAGGACTGTTTGCACAGACAATCAAGAGGGGTAATCCGCTTCTGGGACGTGTTGCACGGTCCGAGGAGACGGAAGACGCTAAACAGCCTCTTCTTCCTCTCGAACGAAGGCCTGGTAATGTTTGAGCCTGATAAGTGTGGGCCCCCCGCAAGCAAAAAAAGGAGCCTCTAAATAAAAAGGCCTCAAAACGAATAGGGGGTCAGGGGGATCCTGTGGCTCCTATTCTAGCTTTCAAGAGAATAGGAACGGCAGGATCTCATATTAAAAGGCCTGGCCTTGAAAACCTGCTAAAGGCGTTTACAAGCTTCATAAAATCAAAGAAAACTGTTTTAAAATCAATTGAATTCTATTAGAAAGCGACTTAAAAACAAGCTAGAAAGTGCGAATGGCCTCGCCAGTAATCCGGCGAAAACATGATTGAGCCCCGCCCAAATCATTTATATTATTGAAGATCAGGGCTCTGCTGGACTATCCCCTTTCCAACTTCTTTGCCTCGCCCGTTGCAGTAAGCGGTCTAATGCTAAGGGTCCAAGTACCTAACAATTAGGTACTTGGGTATTGCGTAGAATTTAAAGACAAAGCATGTTGGCCTCATCGAAACCTTCCCTAGATTTTTCCGGCAGACAAGAACTTTACTTCGTTGGGACACCAAAATCAAATAAGGGGTCCAGAATGAATTTCAGAAAGCTTTACTTTACAGGGGAGCCAGCGCTAATCGGGATTCAACAATACTCCCGGCTGCGTTTCCTGGAGGAGCCCAGGAAAGCTACTAACCTGAGTCTTCAGAACCGGAGAAAAAGCAGATTTTTCGTGGATCCCCCCAAGAAAGGAACACCTAGTTTTATATGTCTGTATATAAATATATACTGGTTGATGGTATGCTTCAATCTTGTTTTAAAAAATTGGGGCCCATAGCATCCTGGGTCAGGCACACAGATACGTGGGCCAATCAGCTACAATGTGGGGCCAGCAGACAGAAGAGGAAGATCAACATGTGGGTGGTTGTCAAAAGTATGGTCCCTTTTTGGGTGCCCTAAATATCAGGTGCCGTTTTTTTGATAGGGATCCAAAAAGGGACCATAATTTTGACAGCCACCCATGTGGGCTTCATGCCATGGGGCCAGATTGTGGTGATGTTTGGGCAGCATGTTGGTGCAAGAGCGCAGTTTGTTTGAGGCATGTTATGCCATGGTTGATGACGCGTGTCCAATATCACGTCTGCTCCGACATGAAGATCCCTAAGGATCGAAATAGCCTAATATAGAGTCATATCTACAGGCTTTAGGGCCCAATGTAGGCATTATTCGTATACATGGATCTCTGGGGGATGTAATGTAGTTTTGACTTTCCAAGCTCTACGCCTCTACGCACCAGCTTTGCAGACCCAGCCTCTGAAACACATCTGGCCCTGCCAAATTCTGAAACCCTAAAACCCTAACACCCTAAACCCTAAACCCTGGAGCTGTTTGGGGCTACATCTGCGGGTAGTCTCCAAGAACTTTCGACCGGCTCCCGGCTCCCAGATCTGGGGGTTCCGGAACACCAAGGATGTTGCAGATGACGGCTTCTCTAACCGGGTTTTTCTGGGTTGCTGTTAAG